AAAAAAATAGATTATTTAGGTCATTAAGACACAGTACAGAATAAAAAAGAAAATTGAAAAAATAAATAAGAAAATCTGCGTGAGGATGTTCTTAGCGTCCCCATAAAAAATTTACCACCCAAAGAAATAAATCCTCTAGTGTCAAACAAAAAAGGATAACTCTTGATTGAGCAATTATACATGAACGTACAGTCTGGATTGGCAGTTTAATAATATATCGCATCATATTATTTTTTTAATAGAATAATGCTATTTAAACATACAGCATATGAGTTTCTCATACAATTTGTAATTTATACTTCTATTAGAGAGTATCAACGACATGAATTTTCTAATACGTGTAAACAGTATTAGTTAATTATATATTATTATTGATGTAATTTGATAATGTGCAATTTTGATTCACAGTCTACTATCAATCTATCATACATTCTCATGTAACTCAAAAGACAAACTATGGTTGGAACAAGCAATATTATTCTTCTAATCTACACTAAATAAAAAGTTTAAACTTGAAACGAGTTAGTTACAATGAATGCTTTATCTACTAAAGGAATCTACCACTTACAAATTAGGTTAATAATTTGATTCCAAAGTTAAATACATAAACAATTCCTGACATATAAAATAATAGTCTTACATGTTTATTTTTGAAGTCCATATTTGGTAGAATCTCAATTAAAATCCCTTACCTTAATAAGCCATTAAAACAAATTATCAAACAAAAGTCATTGCTTGCAGCCAATTAAATTTTTAAAAAATCCTAGTACTAGACACTTTAGTCTACTGATTATGCTACTAAATTAGTAAATTAGTAACCCAAAGCTTGACCCAATTAGTTAGTAATTAAACTTGTGCTTCTCGTTAATCAAAGTTTTATTAAATTCTATAGAGGGGAATGGTAAGCAGAGGGAAACAGAGAAGTGCTTCTGGGAAGGTACAACGGCGCTTCCTATCAATCGCTGTCTGATTAGACAGTGGATCGATGGAGCTCGACGGAACAGCATACCAGCATTGCTGCAGCAGCAGCTTCTCCATTATCATCATCATGTGGCGAATCCAACACATCCAACAAATCATATTTGTGTTATGGGGTCCACTCTTCTTCATCTTCTTCTCCGTTGTAAATTTTTTTTTAAATTTTTTATGCTCTTTCTTTCCTTCATTCTTTCAGTGTGTCACTCACTCACTCACTCACTCACTCATCAGATCTGAATTTCTGTCGAAGGTGTCAACGCCGTTAGATTTTCTAAAATATAAAGTTGTCAGCTTGTCTTTGTCAACACCTTCTACTCTTTTGTTTCTTCATCTGCTGGTTTGCCCAATGTATGCGAAAGAAAAATACTAAAGAGATTTTTAAAATATAATTTTTTACTATTTCACAGATTAACGTTAATTTTTATGTTAATATCAAGATTTAAAAAAACGTTAGGTGCTAGTCGGGTGATGGATTGGAGTTTAGCGCCTAGGTAGCTAGGCGGGTTCTAGACGGATTTAGGTAAATTTATTGTATATCTTGTAAATAAGTATATATTGACACTTATAAAAAATTATAATTGAATGAAATTCATGAAAAAGAATTTTTAAGTACATAATAAAAATACATATGGTATGATCTTAAAAATAATAATAATAAAACATTACAACAACAAAAAATAAAAAAACAGAATGAAAAGTAATAACGGGTTAAGAGTGGAAAAAGAAAAGAGTATAAAAAGTTGCAAAAAATGGTGGGGACCATTTCAAAGAAAACGTTGCAACTATAGATAAAAGATGGTGGGACCATCTGAATTGAATAGTGCAAAATCAGCTAGGGAACAATTTTCTTCTTCGCGGAGCCTCCGCAACAAAATTTTTTTGCAGATTTCGGCATCTTCAAATAAGCCCGATTAGTCTCCACCCAGCTCCGTCTAGCCCTGTCTAGATTTGCATATCTCCGCTTAGTCCTGCCTTATCAGCTCTCCAATTTTTTAGCTGATTAGGAATTAAGTGCGGCGGTTGGCTACCTTCCAGCGCCTAGGCCTGCCTAGGCTAATTTTTAGAATACTAGTTAATATTAAAAAATATTGTGCTAAAAACATAAGATGACAGTAGTCTCACTTTTGAAATGGTTTCTTTAACATTTATCTACACAAAATTCAAAAGCACCCCCATTTTATTCTACTTCTTTAGTTGATTTTCACAATACTTTTAGCCTCTTAACAAATCTTTATTTATTTATGACCACTTAGTACTACGGTCTAGTAGTATTCCTCTTTACTTGTAAGTGAAATATTTTATATTCAATTCTCGCCAAATGCAAGTTTGAACTATATTATTGCTAGTCTATTGAGGCTAAGCCCTCTCTCTCTCTTAGTATAGATAATATCGTTTTTTCAAAAAAAAATTTAAATAAATCAAATTAACATAACAAACAAGATTAAACAAAAATGTTAAGAAAGAGTAAAAAAGTGTCTTATTATCCTTTTTTTTTTTCACAATCAATTTATCCTCCAACTGTTGGAATGAATTGTTGGAGAATAAGATCAACATCAGATGTATGACAAAATAATATATACATAAAAGTTCCCATCTCTTATATCACATAGACCCTTGAAACCCAACACCAATAATAAATGGTTAAGTTTGGACAATATCGGTGATATTGGTAACAAACCATGCTGGGGTTGAAAGTTATCATGAATTGAAAGCAAATCAAGGAATATAATTAAAGTAAAAAGGCGTAGAAGGTGAAGGAGAGTACATAAATCACCCCTTTTTAATTAGAGGAGGGAGACTTAATGAACAAAAATATAAGGAATGCAAAAAGAGACGCATGAAATGAAAACTTCACCGCAGAAAGTAAGGAAAGAGCGCTAAGAGCACTGCTTGACTTCTTATCTGCAATGACACATCTCGATCCGGAATATTCACTAGGATTTCGAATCAAGCTGTGTTGGCCGACACCTGGAAGGTGACGAAGCTATAAAGTGTAGTGATGTAGAAAATGTGAATAAATTTAAAATTAAAAGTGTCTAAATATAAGAGTGAGCTGTGAGCGGGAATGAACCTATTTCACACGTGATGTCAGAACATAAGTAAAGTACAATAAGATAGAATAAGGATTGTACCCTCAAAGGTAGCCACCTATATTGAGATTTGCCAAGAATCCTCGTCAATAAGATAATTCAACTGCTAAAATTTGAAGGGACGAAAAACAAGGGTGAGTGGGCACAAAAATAAAGGTTTATAAAATCCTTTTATTTTACAAATATACTAACCCCTCGCTATAAAACAAGTATAGTTTCCCGAAAATCATACTATGTATAAGTATGAAATCAAATGCATGCCAACAATAAATCCATAAATATGCCATGCAACATCTAGATGTCCACTTGCTTAACGAGTTCAACAATTAAGTCCTCTTTAATGTGTAAACGTGAATTGATATGTATGTAAAAGGAAAACTTGCCCACATATGTCAAATTATATGGCATATGTGGAGAAAAATTGTTACTTATGAGTCCCAAAGAACAAAATAAAATAAAAAACAATCTATATTGTTAATTTATACTAAAGTTTTATTTATTATATTCTAATTACATGTTTTTTGGGTAAATTAAATTTTACTCTCTTAGGTTTGGGGTCGATTTTATTTCCTTACAACATCTTTAAAACATTTCAATTTCATACATTTAGTTATCATTTTATTTCAATTTCATACATTCGTTAGAAAATCTGTTAAATAAACCGTTAAGTGATGACGTGGCAAATATGGGATTCACATTTATGTTGACGTGGCTGTCAAATTTATGTCACGTGCCAATTTTTTTTTTTTTTATGCATTTTAAATATTATAATATTTATCCTATTAAAAAACCCCAAAAAAAAAAAAAAACAATCAAACTCAGAAACCATTCCACCCCCCCCGGCGGGGGACTCACCCCCTCTCCTCCCCTTTCTTCTTCTCCCTCTTCCCCACCCTCAGACTCTCCGGCGAGGTAAGATTTTTGTAAAATCTTCCTTTGCCCTTTCAATTGGACGGCGGGGTTTTGAAAAATTAGGGTTTTTTGGTTTCGGGCGGTTGATGTAGATGGACGAAGGTGTGAGATCTGTTGGCCCTTCTGGGGCTTTGGTGAAGAAAAATTCTTCAGGTTGCTTAATTGGAGGAATCCATGGACGCCGACATCGACATGGTGGTGTTTTTTAGGCGGTTTATGGCAGTGGTGGGTGGATGAATGGGAGGAAATGGGAGGGGAGGTATGGATTTTGTGTTGATATGCTTTTGGGTCAGTGGTGGGGTTGGGGTGAATTGGCCATGGGAGGGAGGTGAAGATGGAGGAAGAGAGGGTTGGAATTGCAGAGAGATCCGGGGAATGGGTTTCTGGGTTCTGTTTTTGATAATTAATTTTTTTTATTAGGTGTTTAGTCACGTGACATAAATGTGATAGCCACAGACTAATAGATGAAAAATGTAACAGAGATATTATTTTAAAATAAAATAGTACATGAAGAATAAAAATAAAATGTTTTGAAGATATTAAATGAGGTTGCAATAAATCTCAAATCTAATGTGGTAAATTGTAATTTACCCAGGTTTTTTTTAACAGCAAAGACTTTGAAAGGTTTGAACTTTCAGCAAGTGTTTATTGGGTTTTGAGAGAATCAATAATTTAGTTTTCTTTGTAAGCAGGGGGGCATACATGAAACACCATCACCAAAAACACTGCTGCGGATTGTGGGTCCAGATTTCCACTAGCCCTACTCACTCATTTAGGTGGACCCACCACCCAAACATCCATGATGTCAATCACGTTGGAGGAAACAGGGAGGGCAGGCAAATTTTGTAAATGGATAATGAGCAACAATGCACATTGCACTTGCCACATTCACTGCTATTCTCCTCCTCTTCAACCTACTGCGGTCTCAGTGATTAGTGTATTTTAGTGTAAAATATTGTTTGAACTAAAAAAAAAATCTGATAAATAAAGAAAGAAAAGAGAGGATTTTGGACTTGGAAATTATTGAGAGAAAATGGGCAGAGAGATGGGCTTCCCATTCTTTTCATCTTATTTTTGTTTTTGCAACTTATATAAACATATATAAACATCCTCATAAAAAATAGAGAGAGCAGAGAGAGCACTATCTCCCTCTCCTTCCACTTACATCCCCATCTGCTCCCCTAATTACTTTAAATATATTATCTATAAATACTCTCTATTAATAATTAAACCCTCATTAACTTAGGATTAAAAAGTAAGATGATCATAGATGGGAAAAAAGAGAGAAATTAAAGCTAAAAAAACATTTCCATGTATAATATGGCATCGGATTTCTAGTCCTTGGAACTATTAACTGAAATCACCACCACCAGAACCACCACAAACTCAGCAAATTAACCCAAATCAGCAGCAGCAGGACCATTTTTCCAGTCAATTTTTCGGTTTTCACATCACATTGCAACTTGAGGTGTTCTCATCACTGAAGAAGTGAGTGTGTGGTTCACCTGCTGGAGGGGGAGCGTATGCGTATGGCGGCGGTGGGCCGGGTGGCATGTAGTTGACAGCAGGTTGAGGCCTGGCATACATCATTGGTTGAAACCTCTCATTGCCCATTGCCCTTTGCTGGTTCATCACAGCCTGCAAGTATTGTTGTTGGTGGTAGGGGTTACCAGGCATGGCCTCAGGCCCAGCTCCTTGGAAGTATCCACCTCCACCGGCGCCTCCGCCACCACCGCCATTCATGGCGCCAGCCGGCAGGCCTTGGACAGCTGGAATGTTGCCCATTTGGCCCATAGGCATGCTACCCATTGGGCCCATTGCCATGTTCATGTTGCCCATCTGTCCCACATTACCTCCAGGCATGCCCTGAGGACGGCCACCCATGTTCTGGAAAGCATTGTTCAAAGCTTGAACTTCACTCATTCCTCCGCCGCCGCCTCCTCCACCACCCTTTTTACCCCCATTGCCATTGTCCATGCTCCCATTAGGACCCCCTTGACCACTGTTTCCATTCTTGGCATTTCCCCCACCACCATTTTTGCCATCCGACGGAAAGCCTCCACTTTTGCCTCCATTCTTTCCACCCCCGCCTCCTTGATTGTGGTTTTGGTTTCCACCGCCGCCGCCACCCTTCTTTCCTCCATTTCCATTTTTACCCTCATTGTTCCCACCACCCATATTCACCTGAACAGGCACAGCCCCACCGCTGCCGCCCTTTTTCCCATTACCCGCAGCACCACCGCCATTCTGACCACCACCACCCTTTTGGACTGCGGCATTCATCATCTGCGGATGGTTCCCCTTCATCATACCATTCATCATCATTATGTTCGGCGGCATCCCCTGGCCACCATTGCCCATCACCACAGGCTTCCCCTTAGTGAGAGGATGAAGGGGTTCATCCATGTCATCATCAAACTCATCAAACTCATCGTCATAGTCGTCATCATCATCGAGGTCATCGTACTCATCGTCACTCAAATCCTCTTCCTCCTTCACGTTGAATTTCACCGCCTTCTGATTCGGGTTCGGGTTCTGGTCCTTGAAATTAGGGGGCATTTGCATGCCTTGCAATTGGGGCAGCTTCAGATCTTGGAACCCCTTCATTTGCTGCAGCTGCTGGAGCTGCTGGAGTTGCTGCTGCAGCTGCTGCTGCTGAAGCTGCTGGTTCTGCTGTTGCTGCTGGGGTTGCTGGCCGCCCTTTGGCTGGCTGTTACCGCCACCGCCACCCTTCTGCCCGCCTTTGCCGCTGTTGTTGTTTCCGCCTTTGCCATTGTCAATTTGCATGTTCTTGAACTGATTGGGGAGGTTGCTCTGGTTGTTATTGTTCGCCTTCGGAGCGCCCCAAAGCTCTGCATGTTTGCCGGATTTCGCAAGCTTCTTAATCAGAATAGCAGGGTCTACATTTCCGGAGACCGTCACCTTCCCCTGCTCTGAATCTATGTCGGTGGTGAAAACCCCTGTTCAAAATTAACCAACAAATTTTAGAAAAGATGCAAACTTTAAAATTTGTATCGAACAAAAGCAAAAGGGTAAATGTGAGGGGGGGAATGGAGGATACCGTCGATTTTCTGCAGGATTTTCTTCACTTTGTGCTTACATCCATCACAGTGGATGTTCACTTTGAGAGCACATTTCTGCATGAACAGATAACCCAAAGAATACAGCAGAGTGAAAAAGAAATATTCACAACGGTCAAAATTTTTTAATAAGTTTTATAAAGTTATGAACATTTGAGTTCAAATGAAGCAAAGAATTAAGAAGATGGGAGTGAGAGAGTGTACCTGGATCTTCAAGAACTCTTCTTTACTCATAGTTACAGCTCAAATGCAACAAATTAACACAATGTTACAATTAATAGTAAAAACAGAGAAGAGGGTCGCTGAAAGATCTATCAAACAGAAGCTGCAGACAACAGAGAGAGCGGTGAAATTACAGGAGCTACAGAAAATGGGGTGTTTCTGTTATTTCTTTTGGGGACTTTTTTCCGAGCAAAAGAACGCAGAGGGAAAACAAATGGGTCCGAGTCTCTCTGAGCAGAGAAAGTTTAGAACCAACAAAGTTTCAGTCTTTGAAGAGAGAGCGAGGGAGAGAGGGAGAGAGAAGGGGAGGGGGGGGGGGAGCTCAGAAGAAGAGGTGGGTAGACATTAAACTTCAATGGGCATCTCTGCTTCCTCTATTTCAGGGTTAGAGAGAGAGAGAGAGAGAGAGAGAGAGAGAAAAGGAGACTCTAAAGTGGTGCCTCCTCCAAGGATTTTATCATTTGTTGCTATTATTTTTATTTTGTGATCTGTAAGTTGGCTTGGTTCGGAAGCTAACAATTGCTTACTGGCTTGGCTTTGATAACAACCATGGAGGAGTGAGGAGGGAGGAGGGAGGAGTGAGGACTGAGAATGAGGAGGTGAGTGTTAAATAGCGATGGTGAATTGAAGAGGGTCAGAATTCGTTTCAACTATTAAATTTAATATTTGATAATTATTAATTATTATCAGCAGATGCGAATGAAAACTGTGTCAGATTTTCCCCTCCCAAAATCGGTGGTAAAATAAATAATGCCATTAAATTGGACCTTCTCTTTCGTGTAAATGCTCAGATAGTTTTTTTTTTTGTTACAGTCTGATTCCTCCAATCCTCCTCCTCCTCCTGTGTACTTTGCTGCTGCTATTCGTACTTTGAGCTTGGCAGAAGCAATTTACCAGTTCACCTCTTTAAAATCCAACGGATTTTTAAGAATCTGGGTGAATCCAGTGCTATGAGTAATAACTTTTGAGTAAACGACATTCCTCGCGGTGTGAACTCTTTTTGACATGAATCAATCTATGGGTTATGTGAAGAGGTCTTGAAAGAAAACAAAACAAAACAAAAAAACAAAAAACAAAAAAAAATTATGAGGTATTTTATTAAGAAAAACTCAAATTTTGGGATGAGATTATAGGTTAATTAGTTAGAATGATCAAATTTTGACATTTTGTTGTAGAAATGATAATAAAATTGATTACTTTTGTAACCAAATGTCAAAAATTGGTCAGCTAACTGAACTAAATTATATACCTTCACTAAAGATTATTGAAAGAAAACACAAGTTATTAGGGTTTATTGACATTCAAAATAATAAAGGTCGTTAAACTTAACTTAGACCTAAAACATGTGAGATGAAATTGACAAATGCAATTTTATAGAAAATGAGAGGAAATAAAGTCAACCGTAAATTCAACATTAAAATATGCCTTCCTCTTATTGAGTAGGGCAAAAGAAGTACGAAAATGGAGTCGATCCATGTTCTTGATGGTTGAATCTTTGTTACGCGTCAGATGATCTGCCAGGCTACTACTTGTTATGGAATAAATATACATAGAATAGGGATCTCCAACCCTTTTCCGGCGAGAGAAACTCTGACTTCGAGGCTAGTTATATTACTTAAAAAACTTTTCTTACATCTACAAAATAGGAAGATCATAACCTCTTTATAGATCAATTGTACCCCTAACTCATAAAAGATTACATACTAATTCGACTTACATGTATTATAAAGTTCATAGTCATATCTTACACAAGTAAATACTTCAGCTGCACCGCAGACACGTTACAGCCTAACTCTGAACCCCAGATTTCATTTAATTTGGTCAACATGTACAATAAAAATACTTTAAATATAATATTACGTCAAAATACATCACTGGAGACTAAAAAGGAAAATCGACCATAAAAAAAAATATTTAAATCAATAAATAAACTCTATCTACCTCTTTAAAAAAGGAAAATGCAGATGATCTATTGATTTGACAACTGTGGTAAAAAAAAATTACCGTATATTAAGGGTTTAACACGTGTTCATAAGAAGCTTGAGTTGACAAATATTCACTTCAAAAGGTGTGGTCTTGAAAATTTTGCTTGGCATAAAAGATACATACGTCAAGCTCGTATGCTTGATGCACATAATACATCATAATTGACCGTTGTTAGGGTCCAAGAATGTCACATGCAAACTCAATTAAGTCTCAAGGCCCGATTATCGTAAAAGCCCTGAATCAAGCCTAAACACATGACAAGGCGTGGAATTGAGAAGAGAAAACATTCACAATCATGCCATGCCATTAAAATAATGATAATCGGACTGGATGTTTGTATCATCATGCCACGCCTATGCAAATCCTTGCATATTCATCACGCCAAGCTCTATTTTGCTAACTACTATTCATGCTAAAATATGCCCAAGCCACGTGCCAGCCTTGCCAAGTGAATCATGGTGTGGATGTTTACGAAATTTTATTGGGTGCAGAGTCAAAATTATGGAAGACTTTGGGTTGCTTGGGAGCCCACAATCTTTGAAGTCCACGTAGGTGAGTTTGAGAGAGAACAAACCTAGTTCCCCTTTTTCCCTAGTAGGCCAACTAAGTCAATTAAAAAGGAATTAGACTCAAAGCCTTAAGTTCACGTGAAAACCCATCAGAGCCCTCATTTAATGAAGAGAGAGGTGAACTTCCTAATTCACAAAGAATAACAATGAATAAAATCCAAGAGACACATTACCAGAATTAACGCTTGTGGAAGCTGACCAGATGAAGGAGTGCTCTAGGAAGAGTGCACGATGCAATCTTCTCAGGAGCAGTGGCGTTCATTTGTCTTACAACAAAAGAGAAGGTTGCAGTTGTGCTAGGAGAAAGAGGAAGGAAGATTTAGCTATAACTAAGATTCACTAAAGAAGCCTGAAAATAGGAACCGTTCACCTGCAAAAAGAGAAGTCAGAGGTCTTGAAGGGAGGGAGGGAACGTTACAAAACGCAAAAAAGAAGGATTCAAGGTTGTACTGCACAAAGCAAGGGAAATCATACTCTAAGTGCAAACAGTATTGAATCTTTGAGAAGATCACCTTCCTGCAACCTTAGTGCTTTCTTTAATCTTCCTTCAATCCTCTTAGTTAATAGTAACGAGAATACTGACAAATATTTCACGGAAAGACCAAAATGGTTTACGGTGGACAAACTCATGGACCACTTCTATCGATTTTCAATCTCAAGGATCATTTTAGCTAAAAGAACAACATTGTTAATTGGTGTTTCTCAATAATACAATCTAAGGTAAGAGTTTTAAGAAGAAAAAAAAGTTAACAAACGCCTGTCTTATCTTAGCTCCCAAATAGATTTGTCCGTGTGAATAGTCGCCTATTGGCGCATAGGTCACTCTAAGTGAACGGAAATGCTCTAACTTTCTTTAATAGTTTGAGAGTAGTTCGGGACATAAACAGAGAAAATTGACTCTATGAAATCGAATGATAAAGATTGTTAAAAGATCGAATTACTTGAACTATCGAAGAAAAACCCGAAATTGCTCTGGTAAAATTGGTATAGGCCAAAAGTTTAGATCTTCTTTTTAAATGCCATTAACTGATAAAAAAAAACATAAAAGTATGTGAAAGAGACTAGTTTAATTCCACAATACTATTTCTAAACCCCCATGCAAAAATATCATATTCCCAAATGGTGGAAATAAAAAGAGTTCATCCTTTTGTGTATATATCATTCATTCTCCCCAAAATGGTTTGCTAGTTGCTACACCAACTTGAAGAAAATGTCCCAATTGAGCTAGGGTTTGGTGCAATGTGTCCATTATTTATGAAATGTGGGAAAATATGGAAGAAAAAAAAAGAATAGAAAGGAAAATAGCAAGCTGTAGGTTAGGTTATGAAACTAATAAAGCTTCTTTGGTGTATGTCCTACTTTAACAGCAATTAGGCAAAAGAAAGCAACTATTGAGGGCCACAAGCAAAGTCCTCTCCTCTCCTCCTCCATTGATGCAGATGAATCATGCTTTGCTTGCTTGTGGTTTTGGGTAGATTTTTTCATGAGTTTTGGACACTTGTTTCGTGACGTTACAAATCATTGATGTCCTTAAAAGCCTGAGGTGAGAGAGGTGATGTATAAACAAACCCTTGTGCCTTTTTAGCTTTCCTGTTTCCCCCTTTGAAGTGGTAACTTTGCTAGTAAAAAAGATGTTTGGACGGTGTGGAAAGGGACTTAAACCAAATGGCTTTGGTTTCCTGGTCTAATTCAAATAAAAGAGAAATTGATTTTGGAACATTGATTGCGTTTTTTGAGGTGACTTTAGTGATTAGGTAAAGTTTAAGCAAAACCAAAGTTGATTCATAATTAGAGCAGAATATATTCTCATCTCTCTCTCTCACATCATGCAACTAATCACCATAAAATCTCCACATAAACAGTGGAGATTGTAACTGATTCTTATTCATTTGTGTCTATCTATCTCATCACTTGAGATTCGCTTTGTAACTAGTTGTATATCCTTATTTACATTTAAAATCTGAATTATAACCAATCATGTATATCTACTTATGTCTCTCTCTCATCAAGTAAAATTTATTGTAGTGATGAGATAGATAGACGAACACAAGTGAATATACAACCGGAGATAACTAACAGCCTCTCCGAAACCACATAAAAAAAAAAAGTTTGAAAACTATTAATTAGGTTTCCATTTGGCCTCCATACACAAGGAGACGGTGGGCAACACGGCAACACTTAATAAAAAGCAGAAGGGTCTAAATTACATGCATTGGGGGGGGGGGGGGGGGGGGGGGGGGGGGGGGGGGGGGGGGGGGGGGGGGGGGGGGGGGGGGGGGGGGGGGGGGGGGCTTTAGAACTTGGTTGAAACTTGGATGTAGGTTAAAGTGGGTAGCTCTATAGCCTCTCTCCTATGTACGGAACTTGATATAACATCTTTTCCTTGTGAGGGAGGTTTTAAAAAGGAATGACTTGGGCGGCCAAGCAATGCCATTGCCATTTATGCAGAAGTTGTCACATGAAGCACCACTTGGCCTTCTGCAGATAGTGATTGATAAGAGAGATTTGAAGATTTGAGGTCGTCATTTATTAGATTTTTCCCTGCAGATTATGCGAATGTAACAAGTGAGATTCGAACAGAAGTCCGAACGCAATGACGGTAGTGATTAATGAAATTTGTAACAATATTTCTTTCTTCTTTTTTTACCAGAAGATTTAGGAGGAAACCAATTCGTAGCGCAAGTGTTTCGGAAGGATATCAACAAGTTGCAGAAGTGAACATATATATATATATATATACAGTGGTTAACGGACTGCACGGACAAAATTAGGAAAGGATATACAGAGAAAAGTAGGTAATCATATATGGGACAACATTAGGAAAGGATATACAGAGAAGAGTAGGTAATCATAGGGGAGTTATAGCTAACATTCAGTGCAGGCAAATAGCAGTGAAAACTAGAGGTGCCCTTAAATGTAAGAAAACCTCGTGACGGGGTAAAGCATACAGTTTTGTGCGATAACAACGAAACAGCTGGTGATTACATACACACCGTGTGGAGGATCAAAGCGCGATGTTACCAGCAATTTGTAGTGTAGTTAAAG